GTGTGCGTTTTCATTTTTTTGCATTGTCGAATCTTCCAATTTCCCAATTTGCAGAGTAACAATCGTGAGACATGTCATCTAACCCTTCTCTTATTAGGTAAAATGGTCAATTTAATGGGTATGTACACATATCCTTATCAAATTCAGTCATGGAAACCACTGGCAAATATTGTTTTAATGAGTTTCTTTTTGGTACAACTATCAGGGAGTCCTTTTTTTTTCTTAATGGAACACACCTACATATACATATATATTTTCTTTCATCTGAAGTTTCCCAATGAATTAAATTCTTAACAAATTGTTTTGAGTTAAATTTGGTAATAAATTTGGAGAAAACCAAGTTCGTTTGAGGCGGGAAGAAAATTAAACGTTTTCGTCCTTTGCTTGAAAGGAGTATGGGGCGATGGCTCAGTCGCGTAGTATTAAAGTGACGCGCTCGGGGAGGCGAAATGATGTCATTACTGATGATGGGGATCCTGATGCTGACATCACAGCAAAGCTTAACCTAGCTATATGTCAAGAACCAGTTGATCCCAATAACTCGAGTTGTTGGGAGAAGGTTCTGCTGGATCTTATACCACTCTCTAACATGCCCACTCAAACGAAAGTCAACCCATGGGCTTGAAGTTTGCACAGGCCCACCATACCATGTGCTTGAAAGACAACGGTTAATATTGGGGGTCATGGAAATTCGAACACATGACATTTCGGTTTTAGGCTCTGATACCATGTCAAGAACCAGTTGATCCCAATAACTCGAGTTGTTGAGAGAAGGTTCTGCTGGATCTTATACCACTCTCTAACACTATATGCCCTTAGCTCTTATTGAATTTGAACCCTTCGTTTCAAATCAAGTGGCCATATATTTTGGTAAATATATAAATTCGATTTAATAATAAAAAAGTATTAGAGTGGTATACAATTTCAAATGTTTCCATGAACCGAGAAAGGGAATAAGTAAAAAAAGAAAAATGTAAACTTTTGAGAAAATTAGCTAAAACTCATAGCAAAACTATTACAGTATTGATACCTTTTTATCAGTATGTCCTGACACCTTTTATATCGAAAACTCATCAAATTCAACAGTCAGAAGCAAGCAACTCATTGACATATACATATACTAGAAGGATGCATGTGCGTATATATGCTTAACACATGTTCCGAATATTTTTTATACGTGTTGTGAATACTCTAATTAAACGTCACGAATACTCTTTAAGGCATGTCTTAAATACAATTTTCAATTATGTTTGAATATCTATATTGTTCCTAGTTAAAAATAAACATCTCCAAATAATTTGTCTTATTCCATACAAATTTGTCCCAGAATTCTTGGTAAGTTCATGGAAGGATCAATTTCCCCCACCACTAGGCTCCAATGTATCTATTTAATATTTTAATTATTAAATGGCAAAGCGAGAAACACACCGTAATTAATTAGTTTAGTTAAGTTTCATAAGCACAAACATCATCATCATCATCATCACACATATATATGCTTACTTGGTTACTTAGTTGACTATCTCTCTAAATCTTATACTAGCTAGCTACTTGGTCTTGTTAAACTACTTCACAACAAACTCTCTCCACCTTGACATGTATATAAATAAATATATTTTTTAATCATAAGCATGTACCTTGACATTGTACTTTTTTTCCATCCATATATAATGGATTGACGAACTATTTTATTTTGTTTCAACAACCGAAAATTCCAATAATCCCTTGACTCACACAAATTAAAACCATTATCTAGTCCTCTCCCAGCCCAGCTCATCATCACAAATTTGATCCTATCATAATTAACGCAATTAGTTGTCTTCAAAAAGGGGGAAAAGAACAAGTGTCCATAAATATATATATCAACTTGCATCAAACCTAAGAGAGATCATCCGAGTAATTGTCCAATCAATCAATTAATGCCTACATTTTCCAGAATCGTCACGCAACAATTTTACGAAGATAAAAAAAAGCCCTTATATTTAATTAACTACAGCTAATGAGAAAATTAGAGAAAATCACAAGCAAAATCCATGTGTTTTTATTACTATTCAATGCTACGGATTGTTGTTAAGCTATGGCTTTCCGGCCTAGGAGTCCAAATCAATGTTAAGAGTCAAACTAGCTAGCTATTTTCGACACATCATCACTACCTATGCAATTGCCGAATTGCGTATGTTTATCTGATGATTTAGGTAGAGCGGGGATTAAGTAAGTGGGAAAAGAGTTTCTATATATATAGGTGGGAACAACATCATACATTTTCCTGTGAAAATGGACGTAAGAGAATAAGGATTTTGCATAGGAATAATACGGAAATTACTCAAAATTAATATTTAAAAAATTAGCATTCACATTTCCACACACTTGCTGCGGTACAGTCGTAGCAACAACCGCTGGTCGAGACCATGGTTGTCTCGCCGGTTGGCATGTCACCCGTTGAACCGGATTCATTCGGTATTAGTTATGCGTGAACATCACCGGTACAATCAACATGATTGATTTACGATCACTAAGCAAAATGTTCCCGTTTTAGTGAACTTAAGTAATAAAAAATTAATTTAACATTTATTTTGTGAGTTTAAAAGTTAAATGTTGATGTTATTTATTGGATTCAAGTATAAATATTTAGGTTTTGACGTTAAATATTATATTTAAATATGAGTATTTGTAATTTTATTAGCAATGTCACATTTTATTTAAATATCAAAGTAAATTGTATTCACATATGTTTTATATATGATTAAATTCATTTATTGTTAATGAGTTTTCACATTTCTACATATTTTGTTAAGCTGACATGAACCGACACACCATTTTTATCACCGGTTGGACCATTCCACTTGCTAAATCGAGGTCACAGTATAAATCAGTTTAACAACCTTGACCCTGTGAGGTTGCAACACTTTTGTTTTTATCTCTTTAGCTAGATAGGTGAATGTGTGTAAGTTTCCACGTGGAATTTGGTCGTCCACGTGTACGCATGTCCTTTTAATTTCATTCAAAACTGTTACCGTACGTACACGTAGCAGCTTGGGGTTGGCCAGTCGCCAGCGTAGCGAGACCTTTGCTTACAACTGGGATGCATGCATGCATCGTCTTAACCGAGCAGTAAGATTCAATGCCCAATTTGTTGAACTTAATTTTTATCATTAATTAACTTTTGGACTTAAGCTGCAGAAAGACCTAATTATTATTAGCCAAGTCGTGTTTTAGCTTTTTTTGGGCACCCTTGCTTTGACCAAATTAAACGACACTTAATTTTGCCTTCTAGACATAGAAAATAGGAAGAACGACGACTTTCTAGTTCTACGTACTCTGAAGGAATCACGAGGCGCTGACGATGGATCGAATCGTCAGCAACTCATCATGCTTACGCATATATTCACGGACCTGGCTAGCTAGGAATGAACACGATCACGAGGCGCCGGCGGCCGACGACTCATTGCTCTCAGTCAGTCCCCGCCGTCGGTCTCAGCCCTCATGCAATTCAGTCCATTCACACGTACGGTACGACGCCGTTGCGACAGCAGCAACTCACTTTCCCCATCCCTCCCTTTAGTTAACTCAGCAACTGATCATGCTTACATACTTCCCAATTCTTACTTCACTGAAGTGGCGAACCAGAAATTCGAACGAAGGGGATGATTTGAATGGTCGTAAATGGAGGAGGAGGGCTAAAGTTTTAACGAGCATTCTAATTCCTAAATTTGTATAATTTTACATTAAATTTTACTTATATTTCAAAATTGAGTGGGGCTACTTCCACTCATAGCTTCAATCTAACTCCACCATTATTTCATTGTGAGTTGTTTATCTAGTCTCAATAACTCGAGTTATTGAGAAAAATGCAATAGTAAATCTTATATAACATGTACAGGAGTATATTATTGACGGGCGGAAACAACTAAACTAATTATTAATCGTATCGTCCCAATCAATGCATTATTGCATATGATTGAGTATTTCGTAGACTTGCCTGATGCGCTGTATACGTTTACAATGTGGGATAGACTGTTGCTGATTGAAAATGTGCTGGGTTTTGGACACCCTTATATTTTGGGGAAAACATTTTCATAATGGGTCTAGTTGATTGCAAGTTATCAAATGGGACGTATATACATCACCATCTCTAGGACATTAATGATAAAATACGTCAATTTCCACCAAAAGTTAAATTCAAGGAGGATCTATGAGTTATTAAGAGGTTATTAATAATTTCACTGGGTTTGCAAAGTCGATCCATGACCAGTAAAAGTATTTGCTACACGGCGTTGTATGTTAGTACTATTGTGGTATATGATCCACGATTGAACATCTTCCAACAACTCGAGTTATTGGGATCAACTGGTTCTTGACATATTCTATATATACTTCTGTGACTAATGAAGAATAACACAAAGCAAATTGAAAACGAACAATGAACACCGAAATTTTAAACAGGTTTCTCTTCTGAATATCAGAAATAGTCTACATAAAAGATAGTACTTTTTAAGTAAGCTCTTATTTTCTTACGTCGTGCTCCAGTTACAAGCTATACACACACGATAATTACATGAATAAACATTAATGTGTGGGGTTTAATTTTAACCAAAAAGTATCAACTATCTAGCTACCGACCTCCAACTAGTGATGAGTACATCATAAATCAATATAATTAAACACATACACTTTTTTATTAACTCTATAGGCTAGAGCAGCCCAAAACCAGTCATCTCTCTTTCACATTGCTTACCTCGCAAGCAAGGAGAGGGCAAAATCGACATATACACTTAACCCACTAGATTAATTAGATTAGATAGAGAGTAAGAAAGTCAACTATAAAAGTCCAACACGCCCTCTTGCTAGCTAGCTAGTTGCAAAGTACCACAAGTTACTAACTACACCAAAGACCTATAAATACACCTTCTCCTTCCTTCTTCCTCTTATTCCCTTTCTCAGTTTTCTCATACCAATCCATTCTCTTTTTCACCCTTTCCTCAACAAACCAAAAAAAAAAAATGACGATGAACAGAACCATAAGCCTCACCATGCAACAAGCCGCCGCCGGCGGCGGCGACCTAACCCTAACCATGGCCAACTGCCTCATGCTTCTCTCCCAAGCAACCGCCGACCACCACAACCGCCAATACGACGCCGTCGGCGTCAACTTCAACTCCACCACCACCACGTCCTCCTCCTCCGAGCCTTCCCGGGTCTTCGAGTGCAAGACATGCAACCGCCAGTTCCCTTCCTTCCAGGCCCTCGGCGGCCACCGCGCCAGCCACAAGAAGCCCCGCCTCGCCGCCGCCGGATCCCCCGGCGGCTCCTACGACGTCGCTTCGTCTTCACCTGCCAAGCCGAAGACCCACGAGTGCTCCATCTGCGGGCTCGAATTCTCCATCGGCCAGGCCCTCGGCGGACACATGAGGAGGCACCGGGGCTCACGCGCCGCCGCAGCCAGCGGAGGGTCGTCGTCGGAGAGCCACGAGAGTCCTGGGACTCCGCCGCCGAGGAAGAGGGCTAGGGTTTTGATGATGATGGGTCTGGATCTCAACTTGACGCCGTACGAGAATGATGCCAGGATGTTCAAGCTTGGCAAGGCGGAAGCTAATTCTTCTCCCATGGTGGATTGTTTTTATTGATCATTTTGATTTTTTTTTTCTCTGTGTCCATGGAATTTTCTCCATTTTTGAGTATAGCTAGAATGGGTTGATCAATTAATTATTACATGTGCAGTTGAGTTCACATATTAATTTCTTGATTTTTTTTTTCATACTTCATATACAGATACGACATATATACAGATTCTCTAATAAATTTGGTTCAGTAAACCTTGAACGGTTTTTTTTTAAACAATTTTGATTCTCCGTAATTAATTATTACGATGATTTTAATTGCTTTGGTTCATTTGAGTTTTTCTGCGTCGTGTTGAGATAAGGATGACCGCGGGGAAGAGTTATTAATTCGGTGGTTAAATGCTTAGATTTGACTATAATTGTTTAGATACACGGTGATTAATATATAATATATCTATCCGCGCCTATATTTATTTTCGGAATGGAAATTGAGGAATTGACCGAAATGAATTGCTACGGAAAATTAAAACGCGGAGAAAATAATGACGTCTGGAGTTTTCTTCTTTTATTAATGCAATCTTGCTTAAAGCGTGACATGGACTCGTTGATTCCACATTTTCTAGCTTTCCACTAGAAATTTAATTAGTTTCACATTTGGGAGCTGGAAATTGATATACTGCATCTATCTACCTTACCCACTTTGTCAAAACGAAAGAAAAAAATGGCACTGTTCTCGAAAGATAATTGTAAAAATACTTTCTTTTTTTTACAAGTGACTTCCTGATGGTGGCAACTTTTGTTATTGTTACAATGAGAAATTCATTATAAGTGGTAAATTTGGGTTCTCATAAGTATTACGAAATCTATAAGAGTGAATTTAGACTAGCATATGACTTGTTTTGTTGATGAAAATTAGTGGAGATAACACATAAGTAACAACTATAACATGTTAGCTCGAGCTAGTTTTTATCGTGGAGAACATGTCAGTTAGTCCAGCTTCTGTCTCCTGCACTTCATCCGTCCCTCCGGTTATGGTCCTATAATAGTGGTGGAATTAGGTTGAAACTAGTAGGAGTTGTAGATCTCTTTTAATTTTGAAATATTATTAAAATTATCTGTAAAATTTGCATAGATTTAAAGATTAGAATAATCAATAAAATTTTAACTCTCTTCTCCAATTACGACAATTCAAATTAGCTTCTCATTAAGTTTTTTGGCTTCGCTAATCGCTACTATCCTATAATGCCATAATTTGTGAGGATCATGCACTCAAATAGCCCACTACTTAAGAGACCAGCCATATAGCTCACAGAGTTGGGTTTATGCGAACGAGGGTGTACGTACCATAGTTCAAAATCAGGAGATTAGAATTGTGATAAAGTTGTAAACATTTTGACAAAAGAAAATATTTTTAGCTTCTACTAAGCCTTGGATTACAGTAATTTTCTTCGGAAAATAAAGTTATCGCCACTTTAGATTCTAGATCCAAGAACTCTAAAGAAAACCCTGGAGTTTTTCGAAAGAGGGGAGAATCAGTTTGATGGTGCGTTGCATCATTCTTCCCACACAAATTTGTAGTGATCGAATTCACGCATTGCCTCAACTTGAGACCTTGCATTGATATGAAAGATTGTCCTTATACATAAATTTCCCCCCTTATCCATGAAAATACAACCACCACTAAACTAAAATGATATGTCCATTCATGACATTCGATTTTGAATACTTGATATAACCGGTTCAACTCAAAGTGATTTGGTCGATCCAACTCCAAATCAATTTGACCCGATTAATTTGATTCACCCAAATGTCCAGCACTCATAACTAGCCAAAAAGTCGCATAATTCACGAGTTTGTAGTTTGTAGTCTCGAATCACGACATTAAGAGTACTTAAGACTGTAACTGAATTTGGTCTAGAACTTAGACTTGTTTACAGGCGCCGTAGGGTTTGAAGAACTCAATTAGATGAGGAGACCTCGGAGTGCTTTATATATACGATCTACCAACCTTATCAATCCAACAAGGCAGTGCCTTCATTTCTATTAGAGTTCTTTTCTATTAGAAGAAAGTCGTATCCAGTTAAGGCCTAAGGGTACGTTTGTTTTACTTATATATAAAAAAAGGGTACGTTTGTTTTGTTTAATGATTTGCTTCGAAGGAGCAGAATAATGTGTTTGGTAATTAGGGGAATACTTATTGATGGACATGTACATGCATGCATGAGACAATAGCCACCAATTTAGGGGAACCCATCGATTTGCTTGAATGTTTATAGTGTTTCAGTTTTGCATGAATGGCATAAGTTTGACTATTACCTAATAAAATTGCATCACCATTATCAAAAGAAGTTTGACTGTTACCTAATTTCAATTGTCAAATTTTATGAAATTTATGGAATAGGTTCGTTAGAACGTTTGGAAATAAATTGTGGAGTGAAAGTATAAACCTAGCCAGAGACTACAATATTGTTCGACTCATGGAAAATTTTCAATTTGTGAGAGTTCACATTGATTCATCTTTGCTATTTCTTCGGTCTGCAGCGAAGATCTTTTTTAGTTGGTGCACTATTAAGATTCAGATTAAGTGACTTACTATAAGATTAAGACCATACATATATCCTTATAATTTATTAACAATTTTAAATGTAGTCTGTACTAACATATCAATAAATCTTGCAATTACTCGATTTAACGATTTCAAACTTCAAGTTCAAAGTGTATTCATCTCGTATTTTTCTAGGTCACCAACCCAAACATTTGTTAACTGGAAAGCTAATACGTGGGGATTTTAAACAATAGAAAAATTCATTATAAGAAAGTGCTTAAAGGAAATATAGAAAACAAACAAAACATATTTTTTTCTTCATTGGAAAGGTAATAAGTAAAAAATTTAAACAATTTAGAGAAAGATTTGTTATAAGAAAGTATTCAAAAGAAATAAATAAATAAATTTAAAATTATTCACACCAATAGCAAAAGGAACTCCATAGTTCACGCCATATCTATTATTGTAGCAATTAGTCATGCAATGCAATTACATATAGCAATTATGCAATTACATATAGCAACTATGTTGTCTAATAAGTAATAATTGAATGATCAATAGAAATTGAATGACATATTTTAGCTCGTGATCAAAATTCAGATAATTTTTTTCTCAACATCACAATAGTTTGTATATAGTCACCAATAGAACCATTGTCACTAACATGACCGTTATCCATTACCTGGCAATAGAATTCCATCAAAAAAACTGTCAATTTTACAAATTACCATTCACGCCGTCATCGATAATGATGACAAGACTATGATGATTGTTGAATGATATGGTGCATGATCACTTATTAGTCCGTATTCATAGTTGATCAATATGGATCTAAAATCCCCCCCAAATTTAAGTGACATGTTTTTGTAATTGATTCATGAACGAGGGAGTATCATCAAATACATTCCAAAAAGCACTCGATTATAGTGTTTTTGTTGGTGTTTGGTGATTCACCAATCACTTGATACCTCATATAGTTTTCCTCTTATCGTGGATCTTACCATTACCAGATCTCTCCTCTCCTACCTCCAACCAGAATCAGCCACGTCCACATTCATAATTCGCACTACTTAAACTCTAGATTGATTTAGTTATTATTATTATTTAACATAAAAAATTATCTACAAATTAATAATTCCGAGAGTTCACCTCCTCTGCTTTCCAGGCAAATCGTGCTCCGTAATCTCAACGGCGTTGATTCTTCTTTCTTGCATGCTTCACTAATTTCAGATCATCCCGGTCATACGTGTCACCTCAGGGAATGATGACTACCGAGAGCAGGTTGTGTTACACCGTAGAAGATAACTATCGTCTAAGATAAAAATAAATTTGGAAAGAAATAGAAAGAAAAATTAAAACCCCCGTCTCCGCTCGACTCTCACAAGTCACAAGTCACAAGTCACAGCTTCTACTACTCCCCTGTCGTCAGCGTGCTCTTTTTTTTTCTTCTTTCAAACGCTAGCCGTTTTCATTACTACGCTGGCTCACTCCCGCCGTCGCCGGGGAATTTGCCGGCGAAGCAAACTCTTCGGTAGGGGCAAAACGTTTGACCTCGATTTCCGTTACTATTGTCTTTCATTTTTGCTATTTTCTGGAATTGTAATCGCTTGGAAAAAAGAGGCTTTGGAGCCGTCGCGCTTTATGTACAACCCGAGGACAGTACTCTCTCTCACCCCCGTCTAGAATGAATCCCTAGTTCGCTGCATGTTTTCTGTCAAATACGCTGGTTTTGATACTCTCTCTGGTCTTCATTTTCAACTGCTCGGTGCGTTTGTCTGCAGATTTTGTGACGAAACGTACTGATCGCTGCTCTCGGTGGTCTGGACTGATCGGAGACGGCGAATTCCAATTTTCCGGTGCCCGTCGGCGTTGAGAGTGCTGCGGTTTCCTGGAATTAGATAAGCAGCGACATAAGAAAAATGGTAAGTGACCTCTGCTCTGCTCTGCTCATTTAGCGATCCTGAGTGCAAAGTTACTGTGTGGGTTTTGGGTGATAGGTAGTGTTGTGTGCGTGTGTGGAGAAATGGTAGTATGTGGATGTGATTGTTGTTTGTTTTTTTGGTGGCTTCTTTTGAGGGGAAGCCATGTTGTGATTTTTTTTCTTCTTCCTGGCAGTCTTCTCAAGGGATGAACTTCTGGGTGCCAAGAGATGCTGATTCTCAACCTAAAGGAGAGATTGGTCTTGATGACAATGCCTCAGCAGGAAGAGCTGAACAAAAGCGTGCTCACCAGTGGTTTACGGATTCGTCTCACCCAGAACTTTTCAGCAACAAGAGGCTAGCAACTGAAGTTGTTAACAGTAAGCCAGCATTGGATGTTCCTCCACATGGAAAGGCTTTTCCATGGCCAAATGTTCCCGAGTTCCAGCTGCTTTCGGGCCAACTTGGTGGCGGCATTTTCGGGTCTGAGACAGTTGTCAATGGAAGTTTTGCTGATCAGAACCAGCCATCGGTTGGGAGCGGTAGTATGGATATGCGGACAATGGGGTTTGGTGGGAACCATGTAAGTGACTCCTCTGTGGGTTTATCTATAACTCATAACATTCAAGATCACTCAGCTAGCACCAGTCTTGGTGGACTAAGAAAAGTGAAAGTCAATCAAGTTACAGATTCAAATTCAGTGAGCACTACCTTCAATAAGAGTGATGGTGGCAGCTCCATAACTTTGCCCCCTGCTTATAGTAACTGCAATGAGAATGCTGTGTCAATTGAGCGACTCTTTAGCAAGGCACAAGGAAATTTTGTTTCATCCATGGGCTATAATTTCAACCAAGGGGATGGATACACCATGCCTGTGACTTATGGTTGTAGTAACAAGGAAAGTGGAAACATTTTGTCTGTGGGGCAGACTTTTGATAAGGCTGAAGCCAGCTTCAACCCAATGGACCCATCATATGGAAAGAAAGATAACGCTCTCATGTCAATGGCTCCCCTAGGAGATGATGGTGCTATCTTGATGAGTCCAAACTATGCTAAACCAAAGGAGAATTTCATCTCCACAGTTCACTCTAGCTGGAAGAGAGATGATAATCTTGTTTCAATATATCCATCCTATGTTAACTCCAGCATCAAACCAATGGTTCCAACTCCAGGCAGAGGGGAATCTGGGATCCTATCTCTTGGTCACAACTACAACAACAATGCTATTGGTAATGCTGTATCTTTTGGGGCCTTTTGTGGGACTGAGATGAATGCCTCTAATGCTTCTGTTGGTGGTGGTTATGACACGTTAATTCCTGGTCAGAACTCAGGTCAGAGTTCAGCAGAAATAGTAGGCCAGAAGAATTTGGTGCAGCCGAATACAGACGGAGTGGCAGATGATGCTCCAAATGCTAATTTGATTGGTGATTCAGCCACCAGGAATAAAAAGCCAAAAGCCAAGAAGGATGTTATGAACAACTTCCCTTCTAATGTCAAGAGTCTGCTATCGACTGGCATTCTTGACGGTATCTCTGTCAAATACGTTTCCTGGTCAAGGGAGGTGAGATGATTGTTTATTTGAGTGGGATTGTCGTTCAGGTTACTAATCAAAATTTTCATCCCATAATAAGCCAACGCTTTTTCTGTGCAGAAAATTGTGAAGGGAACCATAAAGGGAACAGGTTATTTATGTGGCTGCAATGAATGCAACTATGGGAAGGTAGGAAGTCCATATTATATGCTGTAGCTTCTTGTTTGGCAGGAAGTCAACTGAACTAGGCTGAGATTTTTCTTCCTTTATGCTTGTGCAGAGTGTAAATGCCTTTGAGTTTGAGCGTCATGCTAATTGCAAGACAAAACATCCCAACAATCACATTTATTTTGACAATGGGAAAACCATCTATGGTGTTGTTCAAGAGTTGAAGAACACTCCTCAGGAGCAGCTTTTTGATGTGGTCCAAACTGTAACTGGATCTCAGATCAATCAAAAGAATTTCCTCTCATGGAAGGGTAAGGACTTCAATTTTTCTTTGTTTGATATCGTTCAACTAGAATAACAGAAATAAGATAAAAGTATGACTAGTTTCACTTCCTTTTTTCTGTCTACATTGACCAATAAAAATCCCCCCTTTTTTCCCCAGCATCTTTTCAAGCCGCGGCCCGTGAACTTCAGAGAATCTATGGAAGGGATGAAGTTGTTGTACAATTTTGAGATTGCAATCCTTGAGTCGGGGGATGTTTTAGGTGGTATGTGATCTGTGCATAGCCAGAGCATCATAAAAATCTCAGTGAAAAATAGAAATGTTGGGAATTGTAGTTTTTCATACAAAGAAGGAGTGCATATAATGCTAAATTCAGAAAATTTATCATCAGTTGGAAAATTGGGTAAATGCTGCTTGTGATTGGAAATAGAGTTGTCTGTCTTATAGTAATTGAGAAAGCAAAAGTACCTTTTGTAGATTCGTCAAACATATTTTGGAAGTGTCCCTGGAGTATGATAGAAGAATCATTTTTAAATTTGACAGACTATATAGTGCCCTTGTGATAGTTCTGGGTGGCAGTTTTCTGGTAATCACATATTTGAGCACTGTGTTGGAAACTAAGTTCATTGTGCATGGTACAACAGTTAAAGATATTCGAGCAGATTTCCTCAATTTCTCACCATCTCTGCATCCCTTCGGTTTTATATGTCAATGTAAATGAGATGAGTGAACGAAAGGCTAGGAGCTGTATTGATGCTTTGCTTGCAAAATGGTGAAACTTGACTAGCATAAACATGAATATGCCACCATCACAGCACCCTTTAGAGTATCTCTGTTGTTATATACACTGGTCATAGATCTGCTGTTTCTGATTCTGTCCCTTGGCGTTGGCAAATTCAGAATTGGTCCTTGACCTAGGGTCATCAGCATTGCACCCCGCTTTGCCTATTATTTTCACTGCTCTCCTATCTTGGCTTGGAGACGCTACTGTCCTATTTTTATTTCTATCTCAGCAGTTTATTATCTTATTATATCTTTGTCGGGCAGCTCTGATAGAACCACATGCGTCCACTTACCATAGCAGGAAGAACATATTGGAGGTGTTGCAGTAGCGTGTTTCACCCCATGTAATGCAAAGTTTTTGCCAAGCACAGGCCTACAAACATTGAAACATACTCAATCTCTGTGTTATGGTATATTCCATGTATGCAGCTTGTTCTGCAAGAGCTTAAGGAGGATTCCTTTTAAGTTCTCGATTACTGTTAAGCAAGCTGAGAAAAGAGTATCTCTTGTAAGAGATGCAGGAATTCTTCTTTGGCTACTCATGTGAAGCATTAGGATTAACCCAATTACTTCTCCAAGCCTTGTTAGATATGGATATTCCATCAGGTGTAGGACACAAAAACTCAGAGAAGGATACCTTTCTACGATGAGCAGGTGTGTGTGAAGAGTCTTCATCATGCATTTGCTGAAGGGACAGACATCTTGGTGGGCGCAATATTCTGCTCTTATAAAGAGCACACTCTGCGGTTCAGTCTTCGTTCCAGGTACATTGATAGCAGAATATGTTTCTATCAACTCTTGGGTATGCACTTTTCGTGAAGATCATAAATCTTCAGTTTTATCTGTTTTAGAGCTTGATCGATGTCAGCAGATGTTTCCACCGAGTATTTGTGAATGGATACTCTTCCTTCAAAACATGGCAGTTACAAGATGATGAGATCGATGGCTTCCCTCTTTGTTTTCACAGAAGTATCACACCCTCCTCCTGTTGCTACTTGCTAATGCTTGAATTTCCAACCCTCTTTCGACTTTTCTTCTTCTCGCGCCATCTTGCTTGAGCCGTGACAGATTATAAAGAATACTCGGTAAGGGATTACCTTTTTAACAGTAGGTCAAAGGATGTCTCTTCTAGAACTCAGTGTAGCTTGCTGTCTGAAACTTCATACTAACTATGCCTACAAATTCCATTGTTGTTCAAGGTATTTGCTCTGTTTGCAGCTAACGCCATTGTGTTTGTTCTTTTCGCTCATCAGGGTTGATTCATCAACAAGGTCCCATAGAAGGCAAACCCCGAAAGAAGTGAACTGTATCATTATTATTTCCTTGCTTCTCAAGTCACTAGAAAAAGAGAAAACCGCCTTGGCCTCTGTTTCTTGCTCAGCTGGATTTTATCTCACAGTTTTTGGTGGGTATGGCTTGTTTCTCTCTCTTATTGTTCACTGCCTTCTCATTCCATATGTAGAGAGAATATATTGAAACTGACGTGTCTAGTTCAGGTCCATAATTCATATAATTTTTTCATTTTAGTTTCCTTCTTGCAGATTAAGGTTGATAGGGATATCAAATCACCTGAGAAATTGATGGCGGGGGTGAATATTGATGATTGAGACTGATTGAATTAATAAAAGATTTCATTTTTTTGGTGGGTTTGTAATGGAATGTTTATATAATTCCAAGTGCTGAATAATACACTCCTAATCCACATCTAGTCACCTGTAGCCACTCACTCATTTGCCATTGTGATGTATTGAGAACAGATGCACATTAATCCAGCTTACCAAGAGCAAATGTTTCAATTATGATACTAATACTTATTATTAATTATCATTTATGTTCCTGGATTAGGACTTCCACACAGGGCTGCTTTGTTTCATTTCATCAGGAGAGACACACTGGAGCATACAAATTGATCTCCCCCAAAAACAAAAGAAAAAGGAAAACTTGTGGAGGGGGGATCATCTCCTCTGCACTTATGGTTAAACCGAAATAACCAAAAAGAAGAAAACAGGGCAAAGAAGGTTTACATGAAAAGGTAAACTTTTGCTTTCACAGTCACACTTTGCAAAATTCCTCTCCCAAATATAACATCAGCAGCAAATGGTACAGTGACAGAGTAGACTTGATATTCTCTCTTACTGTCTCTCTCTCTTTCATTGCTCTTCGTCGTCTTCAAGTTCTTGAGACCTCGAGGGAAACAAAGTGTTCATCATCCTCGATCTTCTCATCGTCGACTGATGAAGCAGCAGTAGCAGCAACTGTATTAGCAGTGGGCAAATCAGCCACCTTATCATTCCCACTGCCGGGCTCTTGATCCTTGCTCTTCCCCCACAGCACCATGTACAATCCTGTCACGATGACTATTGCTCCCAGGATCCTTCCCATGTACAGAACCTCGGATAAGAAAATGGAACCCAGGACTGTGACGATCACCATGCTCAGAGGGCTGAAAGCAGTCACGAAAACCGGGCCTTTGGTCTTCATCACCACTCCCTGTATGTAGTATGCCATTCCTGAACATATCACTCCCTGCATTGACACAAAGTTGTGGGAAAGCAAGTAAGTTGAATGAGTTCCTTGGGAGCTTTAATGTACAGAATTTGGCATTTGGGGACTTACACTATAGGCAGCAGCTAAGAACTTGGTGTCAAAACCAATGACCCAAGCAGAGGGATTTCCCCATTCCATCCCAATGGCCAAAACCGAGCCCTCGACCGTTCCCATCACGCAAATCAAAGCTGTCAAAGAGAGCTCTGCAGGGTATGATTTCAAAGTGATTGCCTGCAGAATGACAAAACCGGCCCAGGAAAGGCAACCGATCGCGATCATAGCTGCACCCTTTACAGGATCCTGAGCAGCTGCTGAAGTCGTGGCAGCCTGAACACCTTCAGTCCATGGCAGGTTCACCCTCGCACCTTTGATCAAAGTCATCAACATGGCTCCTCCCACTGTCACTATTGTGCCCATTATTTTTGCCTGGCTGTGCACCTTTTTCAGGTTCACTGACTCAAGCCTGGGAAATGAACCCATTGTTCAGTGCCAAAATTTGAATATACTACATAGTAGTTAGTCACAGCATCATCATTATTTACCTCAGGAGCCAAGCCATGAGGAATGCAAAGGCAGGGAGAACATTCACCATAGCAGCAGCAAAAGTTGCTGATGTGTACTTCATGCCTGTATAGTACAAGTTCTGATCGATCGTTGGCCTGTAAAGCAAATGCAAACATCGTCGATTAATCGATACTCCATTGATGTTAGATAATTACATGTTGAGTTAAGAAAGCAGGATAAAGGGATGGTTATTGATGATCTTACTCCAACAATCCCAGGAGTACAACCTTGAGGAAGATCCCCTTAGTCATCTTGGGCCTCACCTTCCTGTCATTGCCAAATATTGTCAGAAAGATGATAAGTTGGCACAAGTACTTTAATTAACAGATTACACTATAAGATGGTAGATGAAAGTAATAACCTGTCAAAGATGAGTGCAAAGGGGGCAATGACAGCAGTGGCGATTGCATGTCGATAGACGACGAGGACATGCTGGCTCATTCCTTGGTCGAGGGCAAACTTGGTGATGATGGACATTCCAGCATAACCAAACTGCATGAAGATCACGGCCAGAAATGGCTTTGCTTGGTTGCATAACTTGGATGACAAGCACTCCATCTTGCTAAGTATGGGGGTGGTGACTTGAGGCAAAAGGTACTATAGCTTATGCCTCTAGCCTCTCTCTCTCTCTCTCTCTGTGGTGTAATGCAAGTAGAAGGTGGTGAGTGAAAGAAGCAAGCAGAGGGAGGTTTATATAGAGCAAGTTTTTTGGTTTTTGGTTGTTCTTTTCTTTTTGAGGGTTGTTTTGGCATTGATTAGAACATTACCAACACGTCTTTTAATTTGTTTGGGTTGGTTTTCAATTCTAGCTAGGGACTCCACTACCCATATCTAACTCGAGTTACTTTAACTCTCTGTGATCCATATTGCCATCCATTACTGTTAAAGAATACAACAACAGGAAAGCAAAGATGAGCTCATGATCAGTTTGTTCCCTCCCACAAATGAATACTTGTATTGCTATTGTGAGATAGTGTCTGAAACTTAATTGCTTATATAATCAGATTCTAACGAGAAATCAAAGATAGGAGAAGAAAGATTTGTGACGAGGATTAATTAGATTAGACTAGATTAGATTCATGGCTTAGTACTGAAACATTTCTAGTGGTGGAATCTTGTTTTAATACTGATAAAGATAATAGTCTAGCTGATCGACTATTTTGTTTTTCTGGTCTATTTTTCTATGCAGTTGAACAATTGTGTTATCCGATCGACTGTTTTTCATAAAGATCAACTCCTATTTTTCTTTATAATGATGCGATTGTACCATCTTGATTCGCCGTTTTGTTAGTGACGATACCAAAATCCTTAATTACCATAGTTAATATATCATTATGATTGGTAACACTTGTTAATTTAGAATTGCATGGAATCATCAGCCCATGTGGTTGATGAACATGGCCACGACCAGGACCAGCCGGCAGGCAGCCAGGCTACGAGCTTGGCCTGGAGATGGAGCCGCCTCTCCGCCGACGCCAAACTCACCCTCAATCATCATTGGCTAGCACACACCTGTGGACTGACTGGTCGCAGAGGTTTAATTATTAATTAATTAAGGACATTCAATTCCAAAAGAACTTGTATTGTATGGGTCGTGGTGGAGGGGAGCTAGGAAAAAATTGTATAACAAAGAGTTCACCATACATACACAATTCTCATACATAATTGAGTATATGTAAGTAGCGTACGTGCTCGTTACACTCTTGACACGATTATTGGAATTCTCAAGTGACCGACGGTCCACCAGCTACAACGATGCAATCTTTTCTGATCATCATCTTAGCGGTGTTTTACACTTAAAATAGCGTACATATGTCCTGAATCATGTTGTTTCTTCTTCTTTTGTATGTAGTGTAGGTTTGCAAATCGGACAGCCTGTCCATCCTGTGACACAAAAGGCTGAGTCTTTCCTTTTCGCTCTCGGTTTCGTTGGGTGGGGGGTGGGGGGGAGTTTTGAGGAACCGAAATAAAATATGCACGAAACTTGAGGGACCTAAAGGGAAAATCTCATCCAGAGCATATGTAAATGTGGTATCCTGGTATGTACATATCCAACTCCACTAGAGCTTAGATTCAAGAGGAAGAAGAACAAAAAAGGCTCCACTAGCTAGCTATAGCTTAGATGAGAGAAAATTAAAGTGAAGTGGTAGCTGATGCGGCCGGCCGGGCCGTTTTGGTTGGCCAACGTATATAACGTAGTAAGTAAGAGGGAATATTTGATGATGCATGAGAGAAGACGACGTCGGCCGGCCTGAGTCATCTGGTGGCCGGATTCCATCTCTGTTTTCTTGTTCTCCCGACCGACCCATTTGGGCTATAATCCTCCTACCTTAATGTTATAAACGCGCTGCTACGGATCGGGAAATCGCCGGAATCGACAAAGCAAGAATACGAAAGCGAGAATCGAAAACACGACACACGATTTACGTGGTTCACTAACACGATGTGTGTTAGCTACGTCCACGGGCGAGAGAGAGCCGATTTCACTATATCAAGGAGATTACAGATTACAGAGGAGTATGAGAAGTATTTATAGTACTTCTCCATGTGGGTCTAAACCTAATCCAATCTAGCAAAGGAAACGGTTACAGACCAGGCCCAGAACCCGAACCCAAATAACATTGAGCCCATACACCGTGGGCCGGGGGCGTTGCCCCTGGACCCCACTCGCTGACCGGGCAGCGAGACCCCCGATTACCAGTCGTAGCGGCTGATAGTCCGATTCAAGTCATATCAACACTTAACAACCACATTGATCCGCGTCTCAATCTAATTCGTGGAGTTAGAGCATATATAAATGGGTTTCGATTTGCCAGATTGATTATAGATGTGATGTGCCTCAGCTCAATTTATTCTTTGGAATTTTCCCCAGAAAAAAAAAGAGAGGAGGGAACCGTGAAATGAAACATATGCATTATTATGTTGATGCGCGCTTACTTCTTGCTTTCTTTTTTCCACATATTCTCTGCACTACCACTACGTCTGCTGTAGCTACTATTATCCGATTCCGATCCTTATATGCATACAAAGTTGATGAGCTCATCAACCTGAAGTTGCAGTTCCCCTGCCTGCCTAATCCTCTCATCAACTTTCCATAATCTACACAATACTTTTTCATTAGTTGGAATTGGATATACAGTTATCCATTAACCAAACACTACTTTAATAATTAGCCATATAATTTATATTAATTCGATCCGATTTATATAAAAAAAAATCCAACTAAATATTGCATGTTTTTTATTTATTTATCAAGTATATATTCAACCATCTATGTATGTGAAGAGTTTCAACCATGCATGTAAGGAACAAAAAAATCAAATCAAAGCTGAGCATGTGATGCATGCCACCATAGATATAGCTAGTTTGATTCCTACTACTGTTGGTTGCTGTATAGTTTTGGCTTCAAACTGTTTCTGTCATGGAAGTGAAGCAGCGACAATGAACATCATCAATATCCTGTCAACCACGTACCCACACAAAATTATATGCTTGCCAACCCCTCAAATCCTTGGAAATTAGCAACACATGCATGATCATGAAAGGCCAGCATATGGAACAATGGAATTAAATTGACTATGCTCTCTCAATGGGATTTGGGCAGATCCCATTTTTTTTTATCAGGTGATCATGAAGCATCAATCTCTGATAGATGGCACATCCTGTCCAATCAACAGAAAGAGAGACATGAATAATCTCAGGATGCCGCGCGAGAATCAGTTCATCCAAATTACTCTCGAGTATTGAAAAATGTTCAAGTACGCGTGTCTCATATCATTATTTCTTATATATGCCTTTATGATTGATAAAAAGTCAACATGCATGAATTTGAAGTTTTGCACAGTATCTTATATCATAAACATAATTATAAATTGATCTCACTCTATTGAAAATTCGCTCTGTTACAAATATATATACCTTATGTACAAATATATATATACCTTATGAATGATGTTGTAACGACAAATCGACAATGCAGGACAGTAAAGAACACACAGATTTTACGTGGTTCCCTAAAAATCACATATGCTAGCTAATTCACGAGCAAAAAAGACCAGTTTTACTATACTTAAGAATATACGGATTACAACGAAACCTCGTAACTCACTTAAAGTCGCAGCACCTCTTAACAGTAGTAGTGTGGCATGCTACCTGCCATTGAACGACAGCAACTAATCCACAGTTTCATCTAATTAAGGATTGCAGAGTCATGAGTAGTTTCGATCATTATAAGTGTACCACCTAGCTTCCCACCAATAAGTAATCATCGATCATCAAGTGCATGGTGACAATTTCCCATTAATTACTTTGCTTAAACTATGTTTTGACTTGATCGATCGACATTCCCCCGATTCACCAGAGAAACCCATCTGACCAATTATGCACCAAATCAAGATCTTATTGCCAATAATTAATAATTAATGTAAACTAAAGTTGTGGCTGGCTCTACCCGTATCTGTAAATCATGGGACTCCCCATCAAGATTTATTATTTGTTTTTTTTTGTGTGGATCGGAGTAGTATGAGTGGATAAAATTTTGAGGCTGTTAATCAAAGTAAGATTCACATAATTAGTTAACCTCCCATTAGTCTCTCTCCAAACCTTCTTTTCCTCTCTCATTGGTGTTTAAGAATTTTTTAGAATTTTCCCACAGCAAAATTGCTATCCATCTCAGCCTCATAATGTAACATGCTTTAATTATTCTAGATTTCTTTTGTAGTTTAGTTGGTTTTATTTATTAATGGTGTACTAAAGCTACTTAATATACACTCAGATACACGTATGCCTATCTATAGCTAGACTAACTAACCCTGGTACTCTTTAACTTCAGGTTAATTATATATCTACTTGAGCTTAGCGACTTGTAAAATTTGTATCGTAATGTACTCTTTACTTGAAGATAAAAAGTAAAGATAGAAAAAAAGGTAAATCCAGAAATACCAAGTGAAGTTTCAGAGTACGTACGTACGTGCATGTATGAGTTTCAATTTTATAGCCATTCTCTCGATATGGAAGAAGGATAATCTATTCATATAAAAGAAGATAAACCAAAAATTGAAAAAGTTTTGACACATAAGGAATGATTTTGTGATCTACAACTAGTCATAGCTCATCGATTTGCAAAGTCTTAATAAAATCAAGGGTAAATACAATATATTATCCATAACTATTAAGAAGCGGGGAATTATAGCCACAACTATCGAAATACAAATTATTAGCCATAACTATTGTTGTGGGTCAAGATTTGGCTAACAGCCCGTTACTGTTTTCAAATTTTTAACGTAGAAGGCCATGTCAGCATCGTAAAAAATATGATATGATGACTGCCACGTGGGAGCCAGCTCACCATCGTAAAAGCTTAGTCATCATTACTAACAGAAGTGTTAACGAAAACTTAACGATTGGCTAATAATTTGTATTTCGATAGTTGTGGCTATAATTCCCCGCTGCTTAATAGTTATGGCTAATATATTGTATTTGCCCTAAAATCAAATACAAGTTTAAATGGTTTGCTCATGTGTTGAGTATAGTAGTTCACGGAAACAAAAGAGAAATTC